TAAAGCACAGTGAGACAAGAACCTTAGCCCAGGCCCCATACTTGATAAACACTATCACAGCAAATACCGGCTCTAAGTAAGTTACAACATTCTGAAGCTGTGAGATCAAGGAAAACAACTCTGAGAGCCAATAAATCAGCATTGTGACGAGTGACTATTAATCCGGTCAGATCTGTCGTTATCTCAACCCTTCGTGCCCCACGTTGGGCGCCAAAAAGAACTGTCGTGGTTTAAACCCAGTCAGGTAACTCGTTCGCTCACTTCCCCCCCTTTTCTTGCCCTCCCCCTGCTCTCGGAGGGACGGAGAGGAGAATCAAAAAGAATGCAACTCCCACGGGTTGAGATAAGAACAGTTTAGTAACTAAGGTATAACACGAATCACTACTGCTACCACCAATGATAATAATGATAAAGGAAATAACAAGGGAAGAGAATACATCATCTCACCACCAGCCAACCGATAACTCGCCCCCCCAGCCCGACCAAGCTCTGACCGATACCTCCTCCAACCCTGCAGTCTCCCAGCCCTTCCGGCTAACTCCCAGTTACCTCCTGGGCATGACGTGCTGTGGTATGGAATACTTCTTTGGTCAGTTTGGGTCAGGTGTCCTGTCTCTGCTTCCTCCCGGCTTCCCCTCCTCCCTGGCAGAGCATGAGGCTCACAAAGTCCTTGGCCAAACCAAAACATCCTTGTTATCAGCTCTGTTCCCGAGCTGAAAGTCAAAACATTGCACTGCACCAGCTACCAAGAAGGGGAAAAATGACTGCTACTGCTGAACCCAGGACAGGTGGGTTTTTTGTTGTTTGTTTTTTTTTTTTTCCCCTGAGGAAGTATTTATCTTGATGCTGTCATACTTGGATTTTAGAATAAATAGTCATGTTCTGTAGCTATAGGAAAGCAGAGGCATGGACGAGCAGTATCTTAGGGAGGACAGATACAATGGTTTTGCTTTTTTCCCTGTATTGTATTTACTATTAGAAATTTAATTAAAATTAACAGCTGTATAATACGTTATCTTGTTTGGAAGTGGAAGATAACTTGGCCATGTGTGGCAAGGAAGCTGGAAACACCAATGTCTGTGTGATTTTTGCTAGTCCACATAATGCATTTTAATTACTCCAACTGCCTTCTCTTTCTCCAGTCTGTGTTATGCCTTAGTGTGTTATACTGTGTGTGCAGTTGGCTGGAGCTTGTGGACAAGTATTCACATAAACTTACTGTACATTTGTCACTTATTCTGACAAGCTGTTCCTTGCTACTTTGCTTTTACAAAGGATTTGTTAGCAATGGATATGTTTTTTTCCATTCATGTCTCTTTTTTTTCCAGAAGATTTTTATTTCCAGAAATTAGCATTGGTAATTCATTCAAATTTTTTTTTCTTGAAACTTTTTGTTCATAAAAATACCCTGCCAGCAAACTGATCTTATCTACATTTATTATCAATCTGTGTGTTTAGAAGCAGAAGTTAGCTCTGCTTTGTTGAGAAAGTGGCAAATTTGTAAAATTTTACTCATTTTTAAATTAATAATGCAACTTCTTACTAAAGCGTTTTTCAAGGAGTCACAAAAGAAACTCTTATGCCATCTACAATGGCATAGTTTTTAACATATGTCACCTTCTCCCCAGGTTAATGGAAGAGACTCCTGACATAACCATGCCTTCATTTGGTGCCTTTGAATATGTCTGTGCTATTCTTTTCCCTTTAGTGGCACAGTTGAGCACCTTAGTAGTAGCTGACTGTTAGGATGGATATAAACAAACATGTGCTCCTTAATAACACACATTATCAAGGCCATCTGAATCTTTATTTAAGATTGAAGACATTGCCAGTGATGATCTGGCACTGGCTCATGGGGAAGCTCAAAGATTCTTTTAATTTGGATGTGACTTGTTTGCTTTGTTATGGACTTTAAGTGAGACTAGAGTGGTGACGTAGGGGTGGGCAGGTGCTTCCATTATGATAGAACAAATCATAGAATCATAGAATAGTTAGGATTGGAAAGGACCTTAAGATCATCTAGTTCCAACCGCCCTGCCGTGGGCAGGGACACCTCCACTAAACCATGCCACCCAAGGCTTCGTCCAGCCTGGTCTTGAACACTGCCAGGGATGGAGCATTCACAACCTCCCTGCGCAACCCATTCCAGTGCCTCACCACCCTAACAGGAAAGAATTTCTTCCTTATATCCAATTTAAACTTCCCCTGTTTAAGTTTGAGGCCGCTACCCCTTGTCCTGTCACTATGGTCGCTAATGAAGAGTCCCTCCCCAGCATCCCTATAGACCCCAATGCAGACTCCCCTTTTATTTCTTCTGATTTTTTTAACTAGTCCTTCAGTTGCCCTTTAAGGTTAGTTGCTATTCACCCTGCTATGGTGCCTAATAATAAACAGCTCCAAAACCTTAAATTCTCTGTCATAGAATTTGGTGAGTTTTGTCTGGCAGACTGGGCCATAACTCAGTCAGTCTCTTGAATTACTAGATTGTTCCTTCAAAAGATTTCGAGCTTCTTCGCCATTCCTTTTCTGAGCTGTAAGAATGAAATCATGCTGGTTGTTAAGTATGCCCTACTACTATAAATAGTAAGTGGATTATAGGTGAAGGTTAGAGCTGGGAATGCCTGCTTTGAATTCCATTGTTACCATTGTTTCAACAGCCTTGGGCAATTCACATGTTCTTTCATTGTCATATTTTCTTCCATATTGTTGTGGTTTAAACCCAGTCAGGCAGCTCCTTCACTCACTCCCCCCCTTCTTTCCCTCCCCCTACTCCCGGAGGGACGGAGAGGAGAATCGAAAAGAATGCAACTCCCACGGGTTGAGATAAGAACAGTTTAGTAACTAAGGTATAACACAAATCACTACTGCTACTACCAATAATAATAATGAGAATTGAGAATAAACATCAAGAGAATACAGTGATGCAGCCCTTATGAACAAACCTACAGGAACTAAATAGAGGTGTAGATGAAGGTAATGTAGACAAGTAATTATAGTAAGTAGATGTTGCAGATTTTTATGGTAGCGATGAAAATGTTCAAACATATGGCTCTGGCCGTATTATTTTACTTGAATAGGTTGTGCTTCACTGTGTTTCCTTCCTCACTGTGTCAGTATGAAAAAGAAAGTCTACTGAATTTAACAAGTTGCCATTTGACGTGGCATTGATTTAAGCTTCCAGATGCTTGTATCAGCACAAGGTCACCAACAGGCAGTCAGGGAATCTAAAATTGGTGCAGAAAAAGAGATTAGGCTTTACTTGGGTTCACATTATTTAAACAAACAGACAAGAATTTAGGGAAAGCGAAATTGTCTTTCTCATCTGATAGGTCAGATCACTTTATTAAATGATACAATTTACATCTCTGGCATGCACTCTCAAAGTATCCTTTCAGTGAGCAAAAAGCCTTTAGAAGTGAACAGCCTTTTGTAATGATAATACAGTCTTTTGCTACTAGCAGAAACACGATGTGAATAGATATATGGTTGTGTTAAAGTAATACAAGTTGAAAACAAATAATGAACAAGAACTGTAAACATCATCATCTAACATACCTAAATAAACTACATTTTCAGTTACATTGTGAATTCAGATACTGTGGATTTTAACGGAGACATCTCTGAGAGTGAACACAGAAACGACATATTTTAAATACCAAGAGAATTTTTTCCTCACATTTACTGAGCAGAACTGTGCATTCAGACACAAATGTAAGAAATATTTGTGTTAATATATTCAGAAATCACAACAGTCACAACTATTTGATAGATGCTTTGCTAGTGGAGGAATGGGGTGATAAACAGAAAGTGAAAAATGCCATGTGGTTTGTCATAAAGGTCTGTATGCATTAATATGTCATTTACTAGTCTGGGCCTGCTGTTTTCACTGAAATTGGTACATTGCCTCAATCTGGTTTTAGCATGATTTCCTTTGTAAACAAAGCTATATCTGTCCATGTGCCTGTGTGTATGTCTGTCCTCCCATTAATAACTTTGAAGATGTTTGTGTCTCATTTCTATGTGGCAGTGGAATAGATCTCAAAGACTTTGAGGTCTTTACCCACAGGCTTCGTAAAAATAGACAACTGGGTGGAGGATGGATAAACTTACCAGCATTGCTATTGAGGGGTGTGCTGCAGTGTGAACTTATTCATTATTAGATAAAAGAGAATCCATATGGAAAAGAGAGCTAGTAAATCCTCAGCAGGAGGAAAAATTGTGTAGTAGAACATGTTAAATACCCACAATTATCTATGATAAGATCAAAACCCATTCAATTCAATGTCTGTAATTTTCATGTTCACAGAAATACTTGATGATGAATGCCTTCTTGTAAATAGAAGAAAATTCTAAGGCTACACTTTGTATTTCTTGGGACATTGGCAGAAAGTCTGTGAGTCCATGGGAAACTTTCTGATTCTGCCATTTTTATGTGTTTGTTGTATATTAGGGTGTTAGAGGTTGATCATGTGTATATTTTTCTATATTGCTATGTGATCACAGAATTAATTTCTTTCTAATATCACTTTGTATAGTCATTTTTTGTAATATCAAAATTATAAATACTTTTGGCAATTTTGAAATGCATGTAGCTTAAAATTAAGCACACATTTCCTTCTGGTACATATATGACCTTAGAATTTACAACATATGTTTCAATAAGAATTCAAAAGTTAGGTATCTGATTCTGAGAATTAAAATAAATATATTGGGTGAAAGTATGCCTTACTTCAAATCCATTAATCTGGTTTCCTGTTTAGCAACATAAAAGACAGTTCAAAACAAAAACCTGAACTTGAACAGCATACAGGTTATCATTTTGTTATGGTAATGTGTACCACAGTTCAGCAAAATAAGTAACCATTATATAATTTTCAGAATGTAGGCGTTCTGTGAAATAAACACAAACTATCATTTATTGAATAGCTAAGGCTTCGATGACTTTAAATTATAACCTTCACTAAATTTCACTTGGAATTATAATTTCACTGAAACAGGGAGATTGGCCTGGATCTGAAGAGAAGCCATTAAGACTAATGGGACTACCACAGTCCCATCGGTTTCCATGGGAGTATTCCCAGTCATGATAAATGGGGACATTATGGGACTTGCCAAAGAAAAATGTTTTTTTGTCTGTGTGGCAGGAAAATTTACTCTGCATATGTGAGAAACTCATTTTCAGGCATATCATGGCAGCCTTGTTAATGTAATTTTTCTACAAAACCTTTTCTTTGCAAATTCATATTTCATGAAATAAATTTGTAAGGTGCTATAGCAATATGATCCTATTTTCAAAGTTTACAGCTCCCATGCCTTCATTTCTTGCTTGGTCAAAAGGATCAGTTGATTTCAGGGAGACTTCTGTTTGAACAGAGGATTTCTGCCAATATAAACTCACTAAGTGAATATTTTTCATGTAATTATTTGGTTTTATGGGAAGTTCCAGGTAACTCAGTTTTGGTTTAATTTTCCTTTTTCCACTATACCAGTTATATTTTATAATATATTTGTTCTAATGAAAAAAATTTCTGCAGATGGGAAGTTTTTTACTATGTTCTTTCTTACTGCATATGTGTTTCAGTTCATTCTAATCTAATCACTCATAGGTGGCAACGTTACTGAAACTAAGGGTAGCTTAACAGTGCTTTTGCAGTAATTTGAGATGACTGCTTGACAGATCCTTAAAGAATGCCCCAAAAAATGAGGAGGATGCAGAGCATTTTGTAAAACGTGGGGCTTTCATTTAATACGTTAACAACATCTAAACTACTCAATAAGCTTGGCCTGCATGTATTTTCAGCCGCTTATTTCTACTGTTTAAATAAGCTCAAGTGCAAGATATGTATCACCAGCAAAAATTATTTACTGTCTCTTCAGATGCATCAAGACAGTTTAATTGTAACCAACTCTCCAAATATTTGCTACTCATACTAGACTCATACCATTTAAGGTGTGTCATTAACCCTCTTTCACATACTAATTTCTATCTAGAACAGGTATTGTTCTTGATAAGCAATACCTGATCTGTTTTCCAAACTGAGAATACAAATCAAAAGCTTTCTAAACATTGAGCTACCTAGATACTAAGAATAACAGCTCAGCCAGTTGGATTACCAGATGCTGTAGCAGTTAACTGTTGAGCAAATAATGTATTTCACAGAGAAAGGCTCTACAGCCTCTGACTTGTTTGTTAGTTTATTACAAAGTTAACTTGCAATCCAGTTTAAGTACACTCTAAATACTGTCCTCATCCTTTTTGTTACTCAAGTATCATGGTACTGATCTCTATGAATAACACCTTGCTTCCTGTTTGGTTTGGATTATTTGATTAATTACAATATGCAAAGCTTCCTCGAAACTGTCTTGAAATCCATCTGAAATGGGTGACTGCTCAAGAGTGCATGTATCTACATGTTTAAGGATTCAGGTACCATGACCACAGATGTGTTTTAACTGTGGCCACAGTAAAAATATTCAGTGATTTACTTTCTTAGCTCATTAAAAAATGCAGTAAAGAAAACATATGGCAAATAAGCCAAGTGTTTCCAAGTATTACACTTCCACTGGAACTTTCCCAAGTCTGGTTATATCTAGTACCTTGGAACTCTAATGTCAAACATACCCAGAAAACCTGTGAGATCCTGTAAAATACTTCTTGCCTTAAAAATGCCCTAATTCTACTTCCCCCCACCATACACACACACTAATTTTACTGCAAGCACTTGTACAGTCTCCATCTACATTCTTTCTAGATCTGTGTATCACGCACATTGGTTGCCCTGCTTTCATCCTACTGCTTACCCCAAGAAATGTGTATTTTTGCCTTTTGAGGAACAGAACAATCTTAGGTTAGTCTAAAACTCTAAAACTGAGTCTATTGCAGAGCCCTGTGGTCATGTGAAAACTCTGCTCCATTCAGTTTTGCCTTCTCATTTCTAAAGTTCACAGATTGTCAGGCCAGCAAGAAACTCCTTCTCCAACTGAAATCTAAGGCTTGTAAAGCTGGAAGAAAGGAAAATACGCCAGGCACTTCAGCTGCTCATGTTGGACGCCTCCATCCCCTTGGCTGTGGATTGTAGTGTGAATCAGCTGTTGACAAGCAATAGTCAGACCTGGAATCCATGGACATTATATCAGGATCTGTTCTGGACTGTTGACTGCAGTAAGCATACTGCAGGTGAGAGCCAGCCTGCGTGGTCACACTTCGGGTGGATAGGGAGCTTCTGGGGGGTGATACAATACTTGATTGCTTCCCTCCCAGCAAGGCTACACTACCACTTAGTGCTGGAGGCTCATAAGAAACCTTTTGTTTCCATTCATCTGGCTGCTCAGGAAGTGTTTTCCTGCGAGCAGCTGATACTACATTAGCAGCAATGGATTCCTGCATATTTTGAGGCCCAAAAGCTTCATCCACTAGGCCAAGAGGGGATCTTGATGCTGCTTCCCAGGGAGTAAGTCTTTTGCCAGTCCTGTCAGCTGCTGTGTCTGTCTTGCTGAAGTAATCAGGGGCAGGTTGAAATGTGAGAGGAGAAGTAGGAGATACTGCTCGAGAAATGAATGAAGAAGGTCTCCCAGGAAGTGATAATGAGCGTCCACTGCTTCTTTCCTAGGAAAACAAAATATGAAATATAGTTACGGTTATTAAAAAAGAAAAAAAGGAAGCTCCTTCACTTCCAAACTGGAACAGCAGACTCAGGCACAGCTACAGGCTGGGCAGAAAAGAAGGAGCCTTGTGGAGAAGGACTTCGGGGTGTTGGTCGATAAGAAAATGAACATGAGCCGATAGAGTGCGCTTGCAGCCCAGAAAGCCAACCGTATCCTGGGCTGCATCAAAAGGAGCGTGACCAGCAGGTCAAAGGAGGTGATCCTGCCCCTCTACTCTGCTCTTGTGAGACCTCACCTGGAGTATTGTGTGCAGTTCTGGTGTCCTCAACATAAAAAGGACATGGAACTGTTGGAACAAGTCCAGAGGAGGGTCATGAGGATCATCAGGGGCTGCAGCACCTCCCTTATGAAGATAGGCTGAGAAAGTTGGGGCTGTTCAGCCTGGGGAAGAGATGGCTACATGGAGACTTCATAGCAGCCTTCCAGTATCTGAAGGGGGGCTTACAAGGGTGCTGGAGAGGGACTCTTCATTAGAGACTGTAGTGGTAGGACAAGGGGTAATGTGTTCAAACTTAAACAGTGGAAGTTCAAGTTAGATATAAGGAAGAAGTTCTTTACCGTGAGGGTGGTGAGGCACTAGAATGGGTTGCCCAAGGACGTTGTGAATGCTCCATCCCTGGTGGTGTTCAAGGCCAGGCTGGACAGAGTCTTGGGTGACATGGTTTAGTGTGTGGTGTCCCTGCCCATGGCAGGGGGGTTGGAACTAGATGATCTTAAGGTCCTTTCCAACCCTAACCTTTCTATGATTCTATGAAAGCGCATGTCATCTTGGCTATACCTTTGTATGTCTATGGACACTTTTTAATAATTTTTTTGGTGGAAAAAGAGGAGTATTCAAAAGGAGGCAGAGAAAGCAACAGGAACAAAGAACAAATTGAATTTTGGAGGAAAGTAGAACAAAGACAGGCTTTTACTGAAAAGGTACAATTATGTTAGCAACTGTGCATTAACTAGTGTGCCTTGTTCTGAAAACGCCATTCTTAATAATGAAAAGGTCATGTTGTGACAATTCTGTGTGTGTTTACAAGATTCTTTCTAATATGCAGGCACAGCCTAGTTTATTTGATAACAGGCTCTGCCTAGGCTATCTGTATGGGAGGATATCTCTGTCAGTCTTCTTTTAAGAGAGGCATTTCTTACTCTAAAATTATTAGGCTTAATGTAGTTTTCACTTTTCACAGCACAAAAAGAACACAACAAATTAAAGACATTAACGCAGTCATTCACTTAATACCCTTACATCATGATATTTAACTTGACTTCTTTAAAAGGCAGTGACCTCAAAATTTCAGGACATTCTGACCCATTTATAGGAGCAATCCATTCATATTTGACAAATCCTAATCTTCTTAGTAATACAGCACTTTGAAACAAAAACTGTTGTCATGAGAAGGTGCTGCCACAGTCATTTGGCAGCATATGAAACAGGTACAACGTTTTCCCGAAGCCAGATGTTCTTTGTTACACAGGCAAATCACATTGTTCTTCCTGAGGAGTTTCTATACATGTGGCTCCTAAACTCATTGATTTACACCCATTGATTCATATTCTGAGGTTTAAATGCCTTTAATTCTGAAAGCCAGTGTGAAGTTCCAGGCTCCTTTGTCAGAGGCTTTGATAGAATTTCATCAAACAGCATTGGTCTGTGTTACCTTTCCTACTGAGTTTCCAAACTTAAAATACTGTGGACATGATCTAGATAGAAGTTGATAGGTATCTGATAATAAAAGGTATAGCTTATCAAGCAAAGATTCACATAGAAATGGCATGTTTTATAGGCTTTTCTGTCACAGGAGCTTGACACTTCTAAGGAACTTAAAATGCTATTGCTTCACACAGGCTTTTAAATCATGTTTTTGTATCAGCCTTGTATATGAGAGATGGAAAGTGAGAAAGAGCCTACTGATTTCATTATTTGCAATCAGTTTGTTGGTGCTCAGTCTGAACCTCTTAAAAAAGGTGTGACACACAGAGGTTATGTAATGAGACATATTTCACAACTACTGCTGTACAACAGAGATATGAACTGCTATTCCCAGTTTGCAGTTCCAGAGAGGAAAATCCCTAATGCTATTAATCCTACCCCCACATACTTACAGCAAGTTTTCGTGAGATTCTGCTTCTATGCAGAAAACAATACAACCCTTCATTTTGGGCAACTTTGCTCAGTTATTTTTTAAGAATCCTCACTTAAACTGTGAGAAGATCAAACTTTAAAATGTGGCTGATCAGATCATCACATATAGGCAGATTCCAACTGAGTACTCTAAAATAATATAACAGCAATCATATGAATAATATATAGCTATATAATACAAAATATATGAAAAAATAAGCATATAAAAAAAGAATTATCCATTTGGAAGGTAAGTGAATTAAAAAAATATATACTGTCAAGAATGGATTAAAGTTTCCCTGTACCTAATTCAGTTCACCTAATGAGAGTGATCTCTTTTTCTTACCTGCAAAATAAGAGTCCATGCTTAGGGCCAAGAAGTGGCACACCCAGACAGGCCAGTCAGAATAATTATCCTCTAATGTATTATGATTTCTTCACTGAATCCACAGAAAAGAACTTATTCAGCAAGCCTGCTCAGTGCATTTTGTTTAAATTATTGGCAAGAAAACAATTTATAAGGTGCAAAACCAAAAGAAGGATGGAAAATTAGGTACAGTTTCTATTAGAAATTAATCTGATAACCTCAACCATGAAACTAAGAAGATACAGAGGGATTATACAGAGGGATGAAACAGTTGATCAAACAGATCCACCTACTAGTCTACATGTGTTAAGTGTTCTTAGGAGGGTTCTAGAGCATTGTCTATGCTGAGCAGATAGAAAATTTCCCCTTTATTTAATAGAAATTCCATTTCCAAGCCCAGAAAGTACTTCTTAGAATTCCAGAGATGCAGAGGGAAGTTATACTGTTGAAGGAAGGAATATCTGACTTTTCAAAACAATTAGATGCAGATACTGTTTAGACTGTCATGTTTAGAGAAGAACTCCAGAGTTCATAAAGTCACAGAAGTATTTTTTGGGCCTAAGCATAACTAGTAAAGCAGGAGTTAATTTTCTTTGACTGAGTTTAATCAGGGAATGATAAGTTATCAAGTGTATTTCACTATTTGTCTAACAAAATGGGCCATTCTACTGTGTTATGAAGATAAAAGTTTAACTTGTAAAAGCAGAAATAGTGTAGACAAAATTAAATGTGTAATTATGGTGAGTTCTACATTTTTTAAAAACAGGTGGTAGATCAGATTCAACAAAATCAAGATTGTTAGTGGAAAATAAGATTATATTCTATGATGATGAAAACTGTTCTATATATAGCTTTGTTGTCATACAAGGCAAAGAAAGGAATCTGACAGAAGAGAGCTAAAATCACCTCATTAAAAAAAAAACCCAAAACAACTCTGTATGAATAAAGCAATACAGTATACAGTTACTAGCGCAGGGTTTTGACAAACAGATTCGGGGATGAGCTTTTTACTGGCTTGAGAATCCCCTATGTCCTTCATTTGGAAGACACAATGAACAAGTGTTTGTAATTCAAATCATACCTATCCATGGCACATGTAGTGTCATGCAAATCATATATCCAGCATGTAAGGGTTGTTGTAGAAAAAGCAGAATCTCAAATACTGGCAATCTGGAGAATTATGTCTATTGAATTGGTCCTTACCAAAAAAATCAAGCAGCCAAATCCTGTGAGATGCCTTGGATATGAAAGAGTTTAGTCTCATAGGTAAATAAAAATATTTTATCCATTTTGGTGTGGAATTCTGCTCAGTTTATTAGCTTTTGTGCAGTATGGGTCTGTATTTGGCTAGAATGTTAGGCCTTGCAAGAAGATAGAGGCAGCAAACTGGAACATCAGTAGTGCCTTGGGAATGATTTTGGTTATACTAATATTCCTTGTACTCTTTTTTTATTTTTTTTTTTTATTTTTAACTTTAGTCAGGGTCTTAGGGATAAAATGACTAGGTAAGAATCCAAATAGTTCATAGTCTCTTGTGAGGTGAAGAATGTTTCCTTATTGTAAGGATGGCTTTCCTTGTTTCTGAATAGGATTACCCAGTGATCACCCTATTAGGATGAAGACATATGTGACTGATATTTTTTTCCAATGGAATTTGATTTATAGTCTGCCAGGTCACCTGCAGCCACCGTAACAAAAACTGGCCAGTAAGAGATTGTGCCAATTTATCTGGAAAAAAAAAAAAAAAAAAAAAGAAACTCTCTTAAAAGCTGATAAACAGTCACCTTTTCTTATATTTTTTTAACTTGCATTTTCATGGACATTTCTAGATTTCATCTTAATAGCTATCATCTGTATGACTTCTTTCTGACAGAAAAAACAGGCCAGGTCATCCAGAGAATGCCCCAGTGGACTGTTGGGTGGTATCATGTTTGGAGACTAGATACATTGGGTACAGCAAACACATTCTGTAAGATCTGTATTGCTGAAGATAATCTGCAATTCCTTACATCTGGAAGCAAGATTTTGCTAAAATACAAGTGTATAATAATGCAGAAGCTGAGAGAAGATCAATATTGCCTTTTTTTCATTGCAGTTAATTTATTTTTGGTAGTGGTGTTCCTAGACTGGAAGTCTAAGTCTGAATATTTCTAAATGCAAGTCAGGTCCATATTTGATATTCATATACTGATTTCTGTCACTACTTTGGTGTTCCCCCCCTTCAAACTAACAAATAGAATTAATGCAACATCTAATCACTACAGTTCATCATTCACTTACTGGACAGCAGCAGCCCGACATAGTGGTGCTTTCTGTTATTTTCCCTTCATATTTAATTCTTGGAGATACATCTTTTGACAAGCATGTACTAAAAAGAAGGTACAAACCCCATATCATATGGGAAATAAGAAGTGCAAATGGTTAATAATTATTTTACAAGAAGATCAGAAAAAGAGGG